ATTAACAGTTTACTGATTTTGGAAAAATATAATAATTTCTTTGTTGCGATTGGGGAGTTTCAATACTGCAGAAAACATTCCCTGTTACTTTGGAAGTAAAGCCCGCAATCGCAACAAATAAATTATTATATTTTTCCAAAATCAGTAAACTGTTAATTTCTACCAAGACACTGGATCGATTTGGATGAATTATGTATCAAAATAATCAGGAGGGCAAGATTTTGGTTTATGTCATGGCTCCGCACGCTGTCTCGCTGGCTGGATAGTGTGAAAACCCTAGTTTGAATTACTTGAATTTCTCGAAGTCTGTGGGTTTGATTTCGCTGAAATTAAGGCAGAAATTACTTTTAATGATGCCCCTTCTACTGATATACCGTGCAAATTGGCACAACCTCTGTGACAGTGACAGCTGTATTAGTTACTTAAAGTTTGCATAGAAAATGTGTGGATATTTACATGGTTGATGTCATGGCTATAAGGTGGTCTCGTTGGCGCTGTCAGCGCAAAGCGGCCAATTTCAAAATTTGACCATTTAACCCGCACACTGTAAATCAATTTTCTCGAAAACTGTGGGTTTAATTTTCATGAAATTTTAACAAAACGTTCTTCGGAGGATCCCCAATCAGCCCAGTTACCGTGCATGTTGGCACAACCTCTATGAGTGGAGCCCCAGACAAATTAATTTTTGGGCCCCTTTTTTGTATGGGAAAAATCCGAGGTTGGTTCACTGTTAGGCGTTTTACTCAAAATCTGTGGGTTTGGTGGATACCCGATTTTTCAAATGCATTTTTGAAACACTTGCCGGCCTCGGACTTGGCCCCAACCTATATAGATCGATAGATATTTTAATTCTAAACAATTTAGCATGAAACATTTTTCAATTCGGCCCCCAAATAGCGAGGAAATTTAATAAATAACGAGGACGGAAGCTAGCTTCGGCAAGCCGAAGTTTTAATACCCTTGCAGATTTTACGAATTAAAACTTGACTAGACTAGCAACATGCATTAATAAACAACAAAATATTTTATAATTGAAAAAATAAAATTTTAAAATTTTTCACCCTATTGTTCCTATGGGAGCTATAGGATATAGACGCCCGATCGCCACGCGCGTTTACCCTAATGAAGGTACGCACAAAAAAATACGATTTGGAAAGTTTCATGGGAATAGCTAATATTTTGCGCGAAATATCCTGAAAAACGTCAAATTTTGACCGATTTCACCCTATTGTTCCTATGGGAGCTATAAGATATAGACGTCCGATCGGCACGCGCTTTTACCCTGATCAAGGTACGCACAAAAAAAATACGATTTGGAAAGATTCATGCCAATAGCTCTTACACTGAGCGAAATATCTTCATTTTTGTGAAAGCTATATCCGATTGTTCCTATGGGAGCTATAGGATATAGACGTCCGATCGGGTCGGCTTTCAAACTTGATCTGCGTGCACATGTTTTAGGACGACTGTGAAAGTTTCAAGGCGCTAGCTTTTAAACTGAGCTCGCAAACGGTATTGAAACAGACGGACAGTCGGACAGACGGACATGGCTATATCGACTCCCCTATTGATCCTGATCAAGAATATATATACTTTATGGGGTCGGAAACGTCTCCTTCACTGCGTTACAAACTTCTGACCAAAATTATAATACCCTCTGCAAGGGTATAAAAATGCCCCCAGTGTTCCAAATTCCACCGTTCCACTTTTGTTGCTCACTGGTCGACGCTATTTTGACGTACATCATTTTAAACGTGTTACGAGTGTGGTAGTTTCTTTTTAAATGTGTTGTCTGTGGTATTTTCATTTTCCCCTTGCGCAGTCACACTTAAAGTGCGACAGCAGGACATGCATACGTACATACATGCGCCAGCAGAACATACATACAAACATATGGGGAGGCCGTGACGTCACATCAGGTTAGCCAAATTTGAAAATATTGGGGAATTTAAATGCTGTTATTTGCGGGTATGCCATAAGATTATGAACATCACATTTTTAAACCATTTTAACAACATTTATAACAGAGAAATGGCAAAAGAAAGAATTAAATAAAAAATAAATCGAATTTTGGGGCACTTTGGGGTCGTTTTTTGTTCTACCCTTACGCGGCTCCTAATTATTTTAGTAATTACTGTGATTTTTTTAGATTTTTATGTCAATCCGTTCTGGGTGGAATTTTTTAGGGGTAGACTTATAGCCTATTCACATTACAGTATTTTTTGGGGGAACGTTGGGAAGATGGTGAAAAAATGGAATTCGGGTTCACACTACCGTCTACCGTTTACCGTCTAAGTTTTCCGTTTCTAGTGTCAAGTAAATATTCCAATTCCAATATTAGCTGCCGCTCAAGAGCAGCAAAATAAATTAAATCAGACCATTGCCGAATTGTTGGAATTCGATGAAGATATGGACCACATGGACGAAGAGGACATTAATAACGCTTTCAGAGTCTGCTCAGTTCCGCGAAGTATTTGGATGCATGTGAGTCAATGTTTATTAGCACAAATAAAAGGTAAATACGCCACAGCCCTTTTAGAAAAGATTTGGCCAATTCTGGGAAAAGAACGTAGCGGAAAACAATGAGGAGTTCTTTAAAGAAGTTTTCGGTTGGAGAAGGATATATTTTCCATTTTAGTCTCAAGACTGGAAGTGCTGCGAAAAAGGGACACATCATTTCGCAAAGCAATTCCTTTGTCGAAGCGTGTCGCTATTGCACTCTATACCTTGTGTAGCTCGGCAGAATACCGGAGTGTCAGCCAACAGTGTTTGCAATATTCTTCATGAGTTTTGCCGGGCGTTTATTTCAGAGTTCGCAGATGAGTACTTGCCAGCCAATTTTTTAACTGAAGAACTGGTTGATGACTGCGTCAAAGGATTTGCGAAAATAGGATTTCCTCAATGTATTGGTGTGATTGGTGAGAGCTCTTTATAATATTAAGATACACATGTTACTCTACTCCAAGAACGTTTTCAGATGGATGCCATATTGAGATAAAGCCAACAGCAGCGGAGACTAACTATCACTTTAACTACAAGGGCTGGTACTCAATCGTTTTATTCGCTTATGTTGATTTTCGGTAATATCTGAAACATACTTTTTCGAATATTGAGTTTATTAATTTAGAGCGTAGTTATAGATAACTATGCTAATGTTGGCTGTCCAGGGCGTTGCAATGATTCTCTTATATATCGCAAGTCTGACCTTCGTCAAATTGTGGAGTCTTCATCATTGCTTCACGAAAAAGAAAAGGACATTTGCGGAACAAAGGTTCCGCTACTTCTCATTGGCGACTCGGCGTTCAAGTTTTCCCCGAATCTTATGAAGCCGTATCCCTTTTCAACTTCAGCTTCAGTGCAACAAAAAACCTTTAATTTTCATTTGTCAAGAGCTAGACGCGTTGTTGAGAACGCATTTGGACATCTAAAAGCAAGTTTTCGTCGAATTGGGAAGGGATTAGATAGTCGACCAAAGAATAACGCTGCTATTATTATTTGCTGTTGTATTCTTCATAATCTCTTGAATAAAAAAAACTCGAACATTAACGAAAGCTGGAATTTGGATCAAAACAGACACCGCCCACAGCCGGATGAAAGCAACACCTCATTTGATTTTGTCAGGTCGGCAGAGACCATTAGACGCGCTATTGCAGACCATTTTCTTCATTTGAGTTAATGATCAGCATGAACTCTTTTATTTGTAAATTTTACCCCAAAATAAACTAATTAAATTATAAATTATTTGCTTTTGTTTCTTAAGATTTTAAGTAGAATGGCTTAAAAGGCCACATTCTGCTCTGCCATTTGAAAATTGTAATCTAAAATAAATAAATTAAATCATAAATTATTTGGATTAATTGATCAACATGAACTCTTTATTTGTAAATCGTTATCTAAAATAAAATAAATAAATTATAAATTAATTTTTTTTATTGTTTGTTGCTTTTTAAAATTTCCAGAAGGCTGGCTTGAAACGCCGCATTTTGTTCTGCCATGCCGCGGAGTATTTCCCTCGTCTCCCTCTGGAGACTCTGCACCTGAGGAGGTCGCGCGTAAGGCTGGCTCCCCACCAGAGGTTGCTGATTCCGAGCGTGGCTCAGGTATTGCCATCTCTGAGGGGTCTAGCTCTATAATGTCCTCCTCGGTTTCATGACAAAAGCTCTGCAATCCTAAGAGAAACATTGCTAATACTTACAATTTTAATTTATATTTGAATACATTACGGGTGGTCTGCACCATACGGGATTCCATGTTGTGGACCGCGAAACTTCCGAGGATTCGATCCACCTTATCAAACAATCTCCAGTTCGATGGCGCGCCACCACTGGGGCCTACCATTTCTTTCTCTTTTCTGAAAAAAAAAATATTATCTTACAAAAAAATTTCAGTGCATTTTATGTTGACTTACTTGTACTTCCGCGTGAGGTTCTCCAACTTCGTGCGTACTTCGGTCCACGATACATATATGTCCTGTTCTCCCATGATCATGGCCATCATCTGATAGACATGGGAGTTTTTCCTCGGGCCCCTTAAGTCTTCGATGTGGTCTCCCCAGAGGTCCACCAAGGCGACTTCCATCTCTGGGGTCCACACTGTGCGGGTGCGCTTTAAAACTTAAAGGGGCGCGAAACTCTTTTATAAGAGTACTTAAAAAATTCGAATATATTTACCTGATCCACTGCTGCCCGGCATTTTGAGTTTGGAAATTCATTTTCGGTGACATAAAAGTCATTTCGTTTTGAATTTCGATTTTTTTATGGTTTTTTTCACAAAATATACCAAAAATACTGGGAGAAACAGATGGGATAGGAACATCAAAAGGGCTGACGGTGGAATATTTTCAACCGTTTGGCTTGTCAAATTTGTATGACCGTCTGAGACGGTAGACGGTAAACGGTAGATGTTGCCTAATGTGAATAGGCTTTTATATAATAGTTTAGCCAGTAGGCCTTCTGTCGGTTTCACCAAGCTTAAATAGACTGTTACATTTTGTTTTTCAGGTTATTGGCCACTTGGCTTCACTTGGTGCAACATTTATGTGACCTGTGATGTGCTGGCCTGTTCATCTAGCATCCTGCACATGTGCTTCATAAGCTTGGGACGCTATTTGGGAATTCGAAATCCTTTGGGCTCAAGGCATCGGTCTACGAAACGATTGGCTGGTATTAAGATAGCCATTGTTTGGGTGATGGCCATGATGGTATCCAGCTCGATAACAGTGCTGGGTAAATTGGAGTTAGTCGGTAAATTTTAAGGTACTAACACATTTATTTACCATGTCCCCAGGTCTGGTCAACGAGAAGAACATTATGCCAGAGCCCAACATCTGTGTGATCAACAACCGCGCATTCTTCGTTTTTGGATCTCTAGTAGCTTTCTATATACCCATGCTGATGATGGTCACCACATACGCTCTGACCATTCCCCTTCTCCGGAAGAAAGCACGTTTTGCCGCCGAGCATCCAGAAAGTGAACTCTTTCGCAGGTAAGGTTTCGTACTAATAGGAAATTTTTTTCCATCTCAACGAGGGCATAGTTAGTTTTTCCTGCTTTGAAGAATTCGCGGTCTCATGTGAAAGAAATCTCTAAAGATTATAAAATGAGAGACCGATTTTTAAGGGGATACGACCACAGCCTAAACTATAAGAGCTAGAGCAGCCAAATTTTTTCACAGTATTCCATTGGGGGCGTAGGCGCCCACTAAGGTCCGACATGCCCCCCCAGTGGCCCCAAACAGCTCCAATATCCATACTTAGAGCAAAAAATCATTAGATGTACTTAAACATAACTTCTAAAATGGTTGGAATTTCGAAATTTTGATTTTGCAGAATTTTAGGTCTTGAATTAGAAATCCAAAAGAAATTTCGATATCCCCCATAATTTGGGGGCTACATTTAAAATTAACTTTTCGATTTAAAAAATCTAAACCGCTGCTCCGATCAAGATGAGTCTTGGCTCAATAGTTATTCTATGGCCCAATTACTTAAGTTTAATTTTTTAAGTTTTTAACATTTTTTTAAAGTATTTTTAACGAATTTATTTAGATTTCCTAAGTTATTGCTCCTGCCGAGAGAGCGAAACCCAGAGAGCGGATGGCAAGAGAGCGACGGCCGAGAGAGCAGCAGCCAAGAAAACTGTCGAGGGGTAGGGGTAGTGCTGTGCGGGAATGGGGAGGGGAAAAGGGCAATTTAAGTTAAAATTTGTTTTGAATTGTAAAAACTTAAACTGCTGCTCCGATCAATATGATTTTCGATCAATAACACTGTGCAGCATTTTTAATGCTTTTTAAATTTACCTCGATGGATGCTATATTTATACCCGTTACTCGTAGAGTAAAAGGGTATATTAGATTCGTGCAAAAGTATGTAACAGGTAGAAGGAAGCGTTTCCGACCCTATAAACTATATATATTCTTGATCAGGATCACCAGCCGAGTCGATCTAGCCATGTCCGTCTGTCCGTCTGTCCGTCTGTCTGTCTGTATGAACGCTGAGATCTCAGAAACTACAAAAGCTAGAAGGTTGAGATTTCCCACACATATTCTTTGGCTTCCTACGCAGCGCAAGTTTATTTTAGCCGAGCGCCACGCCCCCTCTAACGCCCACAATCGCCCACTAACGATTTTAAAATGGGTCCTGCGCCCACATCTTTAAAGATTTCCGAAAAGAAAAAATGCAATTTTGCTGTGTATATTTATACCTATCGAAATGTAGAAGACATTTTTCAAATCGGACCATTCATTAAAAAGTTATACGCAATCAAAATTTCTATATCTATCTCCCTCCCACTCCCCTTAGCTGAGTTACGAATTTTAGTCGGGACACCAAACCGAATACAGCGTTCGCACTCCCTTTAGCTGAGTGACGGGTATTAGATAGTCGGGACACCAACCCGACTATAGCGTTCTCTCTTGTTTTGGATTCGTTATGAATTCCGAAGTTAAACTGCGTTTTCCAAAAAGTTCCCCGACGCAAGGATTCTTAGCAAAAGGACCTCAAAGTTCGAAAAATGCTGAAATTGGTCCACTTTCAGGAGCTTTCAGAGGCAAACGGATTCATGGTTTGATTCGATGTTAAAGTTTTTTAAAAGATACACTCTTTATCTTTCGAACCCCATACTTAGAATAATTTTGGGATTTTCATTAAGGGAGACACAAATTTTAGAAAACATAGTCCAAAAACATAAAAGCATACAGCTGCGGTCAAAATAGTAGTAGTATTGCCGCCCTGTGTTTTTAAAGGTTTGTTGTTGTAATTTTTCTTCTTCTGGTAATATTGTATTGATTGCATGGGATGTCAATCTTTTCGTGTGTGTACAAATGCTTTCGTTTCATTAAAAACATCAAATTTAAAAACAACAAATTCCAATTAATTTGTGCGCAAATTAAAATTGCACTGATAACATTGTAACTAATAGAAGGTATAAAAATTCACTACTTTTACTTAGATCACACACTCATAAAAATTAATTTCTAAATTTTGGAAATCTCGCCATTGAATCGGCCTACCTTTGAAAATAGAAAAAAAATTTCTTGTTATTAGAAAATTGGCCTTTGAATACAGAAAACCTTTCTTGATGGAAAAAATTCAAGAAAGAATTTTTCTTAAAAATAGAAAAATGAAAATCTCATATGTTTGTTTTGCCGTCGCAGCCAAAACATTTTTGTACGTATTTAAGGACAAAATCACCTTTGAATATATGAATGAAATAACCCTAGAATATAGGAAAGTAGCCATTGACTTTCTTCGGCTGCCGAATGTTAACGACAAGAAAAACGAAGTGGGACGAAGGGCCTACTCGGCCCGACTACTACCCGACTACCGACTTCTCTGATCCCCCGAGCGTCAGTTGTGAAAAAAATTCGTGAGTGATGGACGTGATTTTCAAGCGGATAAGAGGTGAAGCCTTTTTCCGAATATTCAAAGGTATGTAAATATATAATTTTTTGTATAGCGCGCGTACAATTGTATGTATGTAATTAAAGGATAAATTCAAAATCTCTTTACCAAGCTTATATCAATTAAGTTGAATTGTTTTTTAGCTAAGAGCTACGTACATACATACATTTGTACATTAATTTCTGGGTGTACAGTTCTATAATAACTTTATCTTATTACTCGCATTTTATTTATTTTTCAGAGTGAAAATACCTGCAGTTGCATCAGCCAAATAATTTGTTTGTCGAAGCTGTAATTTTGTTTTAAAACCTTCTAAGGTAAGAAAAATATGTTGTATTTGTTTGACATACTTATGTATGCATGTAAATATCTATGCATGTACGGCTCACCCGATCTGAAACCCGATTTTCAACCCTTTCATATTCTGCTCCTCTCTCTCGCTCGCTTGACCTACGCGTCGCGACGTTTCTCTCTGCACCTTCTTAAAACTGACACGATCTGCCCTGCTTACATTCGGTCTCCCTTCGCGCAAAGGACTGTATGTAAATATATATGTATGTATGTACGTGTCTCTCCCGTGCCTCTCTCTCTCTGAAATTCGATTTTCAACCCTTCATTTTCTACCTGTCTTGCTCCTCTCTCTCGGTCGTCTGTCCAACGTGTTTGTATTTTGGCTATTATTAACATTACATTATTTCAAAAAAAGTTATTTATCTAAAAACAAATCATTGATATCCCAATAACTCTTTTTTATAGATGAGGAAAGGCGAAGAAAATGGATCACCTTAGGTCATATGAAGTTCAACAGACCTTGGGTAATAATAATGTTTTCTTGAGTCAAAAATGTGTTATTTAAAAATGTTTAAATGTTAAGTGTTAAATGTTTTAAATATAAATAAATATAATATGCAAAAGAAAAAACCAAGTTACATTTTATTTTTAGGGTTTCAGTGTTAATATAAAACTTCCTTTCAAGAAATATTATTTCTTAAATCAAGAAATAAAATTTCTTGAAAGGAAATTTAAACAAGAAAGAATTTTTCTTGTTTAAAAGGTGCCTTTCTAAAAAACCGTTTCTTGTTTTAAGAAATTTAATTTCTTGAAACAAGAAACAAACCACCTTTGAAACAAGAATCGCCTTTCTTGTTTTAAGAAATATTTTTTCTTGTTTTAATGGTGCCTTTCAAAAAAACCATTTCTTGAAACAAAGGTGAGGTCGCCTTTGGCAAAAATTCAAGAAAAAATTTTCTAGATTTTAAGGAAATTCTTCGATTTTTTTTTATGAGTGCATTCATTTATTATATAGCATTGCCAGTAGCCTTCTGATTCTCTCTCTTGAAGGATCTTCCACAAAGATTGTTTACACAAAGGTTTTCAAAAAACGCGCAAATAAAACCAAATTTCCTAACTCCAAACTAATTTAAAGCGAACGAAGTCGCTCCGGGTATAGCTATTCTTGTATATACGTAGGGGAGAGTGGGGGAATTTCGTCACAGGGGCAATTTCGTCACCTGCAATATCTCGGAATCCATAAGTCGTAAAAATATATAATTTTTTTGTTTTAGTCCTTCAAGACGGCCAGACACAACCAATGCATTTGTTTTGCACAGAATGCCAAGATAATTAAGCTATAATATTAAATGTGTTTTAACAGTTCAAAAGCTACATTTAGTTCTCGACGAAATTTTTCTGTATGCCACAATTCAAAAGGAATAAGATACACGATTTTTTATATAATACACAGTGCTATAATGTGCATTTCTGCGTCAGTGATTTTTAACTTCGCGCCTAATTTCGCAAGAAAAATAATTATTTCTAAAAAAGTACGGTCTGGGGAAATTTCGCCACCCTACGCTAAGGGTAAATTCGCACCTATTTTAAATACATATTTTTATATTTGACGAGCTGGCTAACGAACAGACTACCAGCAGCAGCAACAAATATAGGACGTCAACAAAAATGGTACGCTTGATCAGTGTAGCATATTTTCAGGCGTTAAACTCCCTACATTTTTCAGGTGACGAAATTTCCCCAGTTGTGTGGTGATTTTACCCCCCTGTGTGGTGAGATTGCCCCAGTATATTGGTTTTACATTTTATTTTTTTATAAATCACCAAGCTAATTAAAAAAATAGGGGAATGTCACATTTTAAAGCTTGGTGCTAACCGCATTCAACAATAAAAATAGAAATATGATAACGTGTCTCAAGATGGACAAAAAATAGCTTTGAAAAAATGCTGACGAAATTCCCCCACTCTCCCCTACAAATTGAACTCAAGAACAAATTCCAACCCAATTTCAACACTATGCAGCATCAAAAATTTACCTCGATGGATGCTATATTTTTGGATTCGTTACGAATTCTCAAGTTAAACTGCGTTTTCCAAAAAGTTCCCCGACGCAAGGATTCTTAGCAAAAGAACCTCAAAGTTCGAAAAATGCTATATCAATATGAAAAGTTTGAACAAAATTGGGCGTAGGAACTAAACGGAAGTTTATCCCTTAAATAATATCATTTTGCCGAATTCTCTCTCTCAACATTCTAGCTTTTGTAGTTTCCGAGATCTCAGCGTTCATACGGACGGGCAGACAGACAGACAGACGGACATGGCTATATCGACTCGGCTAGGGTCGGAAACGCTTCCTTCTTCCTGTTACATACTTTTGCACGAATACAATATAATTAGTAATTTAGTAATTTATAAAAATGTAAAAAATATTTTGAATAATATATAAAATGTAAAAAAAAATATTTTTTAATTTTGTTCCTTTGATATGGGGTGTAATATTTATACTGGCATTGCTAAAATAGTATGAAATGTATACTAACATTACCACAAAATAGTTAAGCATCCATACTAACATTGCTCTGTATATAAAATAGTAGCAACCTAAGACCACATAGCATGGCATTTATCTCTGAACTAATAGAATTGTAAGGAATATAAAATAGTAGCAACCTAAGACCACATAGCATGGCATTTATCTCTGAACTAATCACTATGGACGGCAGTCCATGTAGTGACGAAGCGCACCAGGAGAGTGTGCGAAGGCGACTACTATTATATAGCCGCAAAATTGAAAATCTGCTGTGATAGTCCGATCGAAATGAGTAATACACCAATCGAAAGGTATTGCAAAAACTTAAAGGATTGCATACCAAGACCTCAAGAAAGTAAAAAAGTGAAAACTTCGAATTTTGGAGCTGTTGGGGCCGGTGGGGATAAAAGCCCCCTCGCAATGCTTTAGTTGTATTTCTATTGAAAATACCCGTCGAATGAGGGGTCATATGATAAAATCCGACGCTCCGTTCAAAAGTTATAGCCAAAATAAAATTTTCTTCTTCTTCCCAAAATGAAAACTTAATTCTGTTTGTCAGTTTGTCAGTTTGTCAGTTTGTCAGTTTGTCCAAAATATGTTTTTTAAGTTCAGAAAATTTGATATGACGTTCATCACATCGATATAAAAAACTTTTGTTCTACCACATTTGGAACAACCCGCTAGTTTAGCGGGAAAACAGCTATAAATAGCTAAAATTCGGAAAGCCGTAACTTCTATAAACTAAAGCTACAGACTTGTGCTGCATCTCGTTTGAAAGGTTTTTTTAAATGCTATAAACGCCTTCTATATGCAATTTGTGTAAATGTAATAGTTAAAAAGATATGAACAAAAGAAAATTTGTTTAAACTTTTGTTTTACCTTTTTTATAATTTTCTCAAAAACGGCTCTAACGATTTTCCTTACAACTTTAAACTGTATAGCCCTTGAGATTCCTTAAATTTTGGTATATATCATGTTTATGTAAAAAATCGCGTTTAAAAGTTATTCAGAAACGAAAATAGCCACTTTTGCCAGCTCAGAACAACTAACGCTTCCTGAGTGTTTAATTTTGTGCGTGGGTATCCAAACTGTATTTTAGGCTCATAGAATCATTTCAATTGTTTTAAGGAGTTCCAAATGGGAAACTCTTGTTTTACGACTTTTGGAAAAACCCACTGCTTTAGCGGAAAAAAAACTAGAAATAGCTAAATTTCGTTAGTTTGTAAGTTCTACACTACTGAAGCTACAGACATGTGCTATACCTCGTTTAAAAGGTATTTTGAAATACTTAAACGCCTTTTTAACTTAATTTGTTTAAATACAATGGTTTACAAATTATGATTGACCAATTTGAATTTAAATGTATATACTAGCTCCTATAAGAGCAAATATAAACAAACAAAAACTTCTGATATCAAATAAAAACACCTCTTAACGATGTAAAAAACTAGTGACGATCGCACCTTCAACATACAAAACTTCTGATATCAACATTTGTGACGAAAAATTATTACACTCGTCATTAAATACACTTTCTAAGATTTTCTCATTCGGCACGCTGCAATAGAAAATGCCTATGAAGGTAAAAAGGCTAAAATAGTATGCTAGGGCGGGCCGAATGAGAAAATATTAGAAAGTGTATTTAATGACGAGTGTAATAATTTTTCGTCACAAATGTTGATATCAGAACTTTTGTATGTTGAAGGTGCGATCGTCACTAGTTTTTTACCTCGTTAAGAGGTGTTTTTATTTGATAGAGTTGTAAGGATAAAAGGGCACAGGTGAACAAGCCTGGGAAAACTGCCCCAGGCGATATTGCAAAATTGTAGATGAGGATTGGTAAATAGGAACTTAATGGATAAGAATTCCAATTTTCAAATATTTTGATCCGCTGTTTTACGAGTAATATACCGCAACTTAAGAACATATCACTTAATGTATCTTCCCTTCGGTGGTTCTTGAGAAAACTTTTTTGATTCTAATAATTTTTGTGTTATCCTTCAAGAATATCAGCCAATCTTTGGATTTTTACCATTCTTATAAGCTAACAAAAATCGCGAATAAAATTTTGAAAAAATTGCTTCAAGACTTTCCAAGTCTGACAACACCGCCAATTTTTTACAGTTTGTGTTTCCTATAACCATCTACTTCATATAAAATATTCATAATTTTTCGAGTGGTGCAACAGTGTTAATCAAAAAAAAAACTGAAGAATTTATTTCTGGAAGGATAGGAACAGAGTCAATAAAATGTATTTGGCTTGTAAATAGTTAATTTTAAGGCCAGAATTATTATCAAAGAGTAATGTTTTTAATATTATGAGTGAAAAAAGGTTAGAATTATAAAGTTTGGCATGTATTTGCTTGTAATTGATTTAATAGGGGCCCTCCATGGACAGAGATTTCATAAGATATCCTTTGAGCATGGAGGACCAACAAATACTTTAATTATGTGATTCTGAAGAAATCGCGGTCCAAAGAGGATTATTTATTTTGCGATCCTTTCGGTGCCATGGTTATTCTAAAATGCAAGATGGTAAATTGAAAGCATTAGTATTAGTATTAGTTTCCGAATGAAAAAACAAGAGAGAACGCTATAGTCGGGTTGGTGTCCCGACTATCTAATACCCGTCACTCAGCTTAAGAGGGAGATGGATATATACAATTTTTTTGATTGCACATAACTTTTTAATGAATGGTCCATTTAGAAAAGTGAATTCTACATTTCGATAGGTATAAATATACACAACAAAATTGCATTTATACTTCTCGGAAATCTTTAAAGGTGTGGGCGCCAGACACATTTTAAAATCGTTAGTAGGCGATTGTGGGCGTTAGAGGGCGTGGCGCTCGGCTGAAATAAACTTGTGCTGCGCAGGAAGCCCAAGAATATGTTTGGAAAATCTCAACCTTCTAGCTTTTGTAGTTTCCGAGATCTCAGCGTTCATACAGACGGACAGACGGACATGGCTAGATCGACTCGGCTAGTGACCCTGATCAAGAATATAGCTGTTACATACTTTTGCACGAATACAATATACCCTTTTACTCTACGAGTAACGGGTATAAAAAGGTTAAGGAATATGCTCAGCATATTTTGACCTATTTTGTTTAGGTCAAAAAAGGTCGAGTTTTATTTCAAATTCAATGATATAATTTTCAATGTTTTTATGTTGTTGGGGTCAGAGTATTATTAATTAAAGTTCGCTATTTTCTCATACATTTTTGTTTTTGTCTTTGCAAACTCTATAAAGTATTTACGTACAAAAGTTCTGATATCAACTTTTGTGACAAAAAATGATTTTAGATGCGACTAAATAAGTACGCTACCTGAAATTTATTCGTTCGGCACGCTACAACAGAAAACTTTTGTGTAGATATTAAATATTTGCTAAAGCGGGCCGAACGAGTAAATTTTAGGTAGCGTACTTATTTAGTCGCATCTAAAATCATTTTTCGTCACAAAAGTTGATATCAGAACTTTTGTACGTTGAAGGTGCGATCGTCACTAGTTTTTATGTAGGTGTTTTTATTTGATTTATTACAGTTGATTTTACCAAGTTTTTTTTTGTGTTTATATATTTGATATATATATATATATATATATATATATATATTTTATATTTGATTTTATTTTCAACACATCTTCACTCTGACACTGCTGAAACACAAATAAATTGAAAAGGTTTGCTAATTTGCGCACCACCTTTTTAGAAGAAAAACCTCACGAAGAAATTACGGGACTTCTTATTAATTTTACTGTACATACATTGTCGACACGATAAGGTGAGACGACTACATTTATTTGGAATTTTTGTCGTGACGTCATGTGTGAGATTCGACGAGTTCGTCACATTACTCTACTCTTCACATTACCCTACACTCCCCTACAAAATAGTTCATTCATTCCCTATACTTTTACAGAATAAATTTTATGTTAAATAAAATAGTTAGACCAGCTGTTTTGTTTCATATTATCTACATATAGTTTTAATAAAAGCTGTTATTTATTCAAATAAAAATAATTTCACAACAAATTTATTTTGGCCTCAGATATTTTCAACTGTAAATCAGAAAATTCGAAATGATCCATTAGTCCTCATGCATATATTTATATATATGTTTTCAGATTGGGTGGGCGCTTCACCATAAGGCCTCAGCACAGCCAGCAACAGTTGCAGATGCATAGCAGCTTCTCTAGCGGCAATAGCAAATTCATGTCAATGAGCGACAGCAATCGCAACTTTAACAATGCAGGAGGAGGAGTTGATGAAGTAGCACCCACCAGGAACAGGAGCGAGGAGCCATCCGAACGACTTTCGATGCAGCGAAGAACGACGAGCACCAGGAGCATCGGTACGGTCAGTTTCCGCAATGTGGTTAATGGCAGTGGCGGAGCCGGAGGAAGTGGGTCCAGGGGTCAGGGCACTGCCCGCAGCAGCTTCCGGTTCTCGGGCGGCATCCTGCGGCACTCCTCGTCCCCCGCCTCGAGCAGCCACTCCACCAGCAAGTCGAGCAGCTTCTGGCGCAAACACGGCGGCAATCCCAACCTAATGGACAGGTGAGTAATATATGTAGACACTCAAAAAAAATGCACACTGAATTTTAGAAAATCATCGACATAGAATTAAGAAACTTTTTATTGATAACACAGGTCAACAAAATGGACTTTATTAAAAGGTGCAGGCCTATGGGCATTAAAATATGTTAATATTGACGTATATAAGCATATCTGAATACTTCGTTTTCGCGTTTAACGGGTGGTATTTGTGCAATTGCGGTTTGAAAAAAATAGCAACATTTAATGTTTTGATTTAGGATATCTTCGAGGGTCTTTGCCCAACTGTATTATAACCTATGCCAAAAAATGGCTTAGATGCCCATTTACATAATTTCATTTAGGTTCCATTATTATTTGAGTCAATCAAAGCCTATGAGCCATTGAAGTAATTTGTTCACCTCTATTCACATCTAACTTGATGCGGTAAACAGGCTTAAAAAAATACAAGGAAAAATATGTGCCGTAAAATATTTGACAGGCATCTAGAGGCGACTTTTCCCAAATTTTTCAGATAAATACCACTATTGTACTTCGAAGGATGGAATTTATAGAATTTTCCTACTCCGGAGGCTTTAACTGATCCCCACATAATGACACTCCCCCGAAGTGATTTTTGGTCCAAATTAATACTGTGGTGGGATTATGGTGGGAAAGTTATGGTGTGGGGGTCAGTTGAAGCTTCGGGAGTAGGAAATTTATTCTTCGTCGTGGGCATTATGGTTCCTTCTCAGTATAAGACCATATTAGAACACATTTTGAAAACATCTGGGTACAAATTATGCCTCAAAACGAGCTGGACCTTCCAACAGGATAACGATCCTAGGCATACGCCGCATATCGTGAAGGATTGGCTGCTGAATTATGCTCCTTGTCAATTATTTTCACCACCACTAAGCCGGTACATAAGAATTATAGACCAGGATTGGGAAATTTTGAAGCAAAAATTTCTAAAGTTCTATGTAAAAAATCGTATGTAGACTTTTGTCAGTGCCATTTTTATGTTTTTTGTTTATAACTCTTTAAGTTTTTGTTGTATAAAAATGAAATATTGGTTTTTGAGTAATAATAACATTTAAAACAAGATGGCATCATTACTTTTTCTGTAGAAGCTAAAGGAGTGGGAAAACTCCCAAAAAGGGGGTCGTATGTAGACTTTTGTCCGCCACTGTATATACATCTTAATGGGGGCCGTCCTCGAATACGCAACGAGACATTGATAGGACCAAACAAATCTACGCCACAAATATGAAATGGTCTTACGGATTCGAACCTATCCGCAGGCAGATTTCCCATAATTTGGTTCATCAGAACAGGCCTATATCTAAAACAATGGATGCATTTTCGAACCACCTGAGTGCATTCTCTGCAAGCATTTATTAACCAGATTTTCTGCCGCAGAAGACCGATCATCGTTTTTGCATTTGCGTGACAATTTCTCAAATGCAAATTTTGGAGATACAAATCAACAATTTGTTTTTTACAAGGGAGTAATATATATGAAATAGGTGCATGCAAGAGTCTACCTCCCACCCGAATTAGCGAAAATCTTCTACCAGCCTCAGAAAACTTTTGTATGAAGAGCGTCATCATCTGCAAACTTGTTTCTACTCTTCTGCAAAAACATATTTTTGGATGATTTCCATCAGTTTAAAAAATGATAGTTGTAACTCTCTAGCCGTCAGATTTACTGATCTTTCTCGTGATTTAGCTACACACAAAAAAAAAACTTGGTAAAATCAACTGTAACAAGAAAGGAAAGGAAGCTAGCTTCGGCCAGCCGAAGCTTATATACCCTTGCAGATCATTCCTATTAATTAACAAATCGCAAAAATGTTCAATTTTCTAATATTTCTCATTAATTTTCCGATCGTTCCTATGGCAGCTATATGATATAGTCGTCCGATTTTGATCAAATTAAAATTGAAATTCGGAAATATTTAAAAAGAGTCATATCCTAGAGTAGAAGATAATACAATAAAAACCAAAGAAGCTAGAATTTATTTCCTATTACTTTTCCATTAATTTTCGATCGTTCCTATGGCAGCTATATGATATAGTAGTCCGATTTTTTAAATAATTAATTCGAAATTCAGAAATATTTCAAAAAACACCGAAGCTAGAATTTTTTAAAGTTTTTTTTCCGATCCTTCCTATGGGAGCTATAAGATATAGTTGTCCGATCAGGTCGGTTCCGACATATATACTACCTGCACTAGAATGAAGACTTTTGCGAAAGTTTCGTCCCGATAGCTCAAAAATTGAGAGACTAGTTTGCGTAGAAACAGACAGACGGACAGACGGACATGGCTAGATCGACTCGTCTTGTGATGCTGATCAAGAATATATATTTTTTATGGGGTCGGAAACGTCTCCTTCACTGCGTTGCAAACTTCTGACTGAAATCATAATACCCTCTGCAAGGGTATAATAATTGTCAAACAGGCCCCAACCAGCAAAATTGTCAATTCTACTAAGTAAATAGTCATTTACAACAACAAAATACACACAATTAGCAAAGACACAAACCCAAAGCAAAAACAAAATACACGTAACTATTTTAATAGTTACGTAACTATCTTTGCTGGTCAATTTTTAGCAAGCAAATTTTTTTGTGTGTAGGTTTAGAAATCTGTAAACGTAACCAAGAACTCTAATGAGTTTTTTAAACGATGAGATACGAGCAATAAATTCGAACGAGTTGATAGCTCGACGGCTATACACACTTGGGCAGCTTTTTTTAACTCTGAGTTTTTTAATTCGGAAGGTATAGAAAAATGCGAGTTTTCTGGCCATAATGACTCATTTTCATACAGAAATTTCGGACCTTTGAACCAGATGGACTCAGTCAATTCATTGACATCGCAGCCACGGGACGCAATGTCCTCTGCAAATGCAACATCCGTAAGCTTGGCTGGATGCACCCACTGGCAAACGTGTACCTAGGAATGGTGACTGTGTTAAGATTAAGTAGATTCTTCTAGTTGAAGTTGCCAAAGGCTTTGAAGAAGAATTTTAGATGTAAGGCCAATGGGGCACAGCAATCCCAAGGGATCAAAAAGCCGCGCGCTTACTGAAAGAATGTTTCGTTTTGTGGGAGTCAAATTTTTAAAGCTCTCATCTAAATGAAATCGAAATGTGTCTGTGTGTGGCATCCACCGCATACCTAAAGCTTTGGTCGAATCGGTATCATTGAAATATTTAGGGATTTTTCAGTGTTGTTCCCTTTTGCTAGTTGTGGATGGTTTGAAAACCATTTAGACAGCTGGAAACCACCACTATTGAGAATTTCTGACACTTGATTTCACATCACGTTCAAGGTGTCAATATCATCGGCTCCAGTAAGCATGTCATCCACATAAAAGTCGTTGCAAATTATGTATGAACCAATTTCATGTTTATCCCTATTACGAAATCCAAGTTCATGTAAGCTACGGATGGCTAAAAATGGAGCTAAAGACGTTCCGTAGGTGACTGTATTAAGAAGAAAAATTTGTAGCTCATCAGATGGATTCTCGCGCCATACTATCAGTTTATAGTTACGATCTTCTTCTGCGAGACTTACTTGCCTATACATTTTTGATATATCTGCTGTTAAAGCGAATCGATTTAAACGAAATCTAACAAGTGATAATAACACACCCAGAAAAATGATGGACAACATTTTAGGTCATGCATAGCCTAAAACATTTTAAACGGACTAAAAGATCCTTTTAGGTTATGTACTGCCTAAAAATTTTAATTTTTGGTATATTGGCCCTACTATTTAGGTCCCGTATAGCCTAATATTTTAGGTCATCGTGGGTTTTAAAATAATGCATTTTACCTAAATAAATTTGCACGGAACTCTGATACCATTCTGGCGACGCTGTAATTCCCCAACCAGTTATAGCGCGGCTTTCATGGTAACCCACTTCGATCGTTGACCAGGACATGTTGGCATAATGACGACTTCTTGAAGACTAAACCGACATTGACCTCGAGTTAGATACATTTTTCAGTACATATTTTTAGGCCAAAGAAAGCCTTAAATTTTGGATAGGCGTTTTCTCATATTTTTAGGCAGCCAATTACCTAAAATCTAGGTCAAAATTACCCCCATTTTAGGCCATTAATGGCCTATCTTTTTAGGTCATGGAATCCTAAATTTTAGGCCATTCAAGGACTTAGCTCCAGTTTTAGGCCAATTTTACCTAAATTCTAGGCCATTTTTTGACATTTTAGGTCATTTTTTTTCTGGGTGCAGTTCCCCCTGAATAGTGGGCCCCACCATTAAAATGTAATTTAATGACTGCGCTGAAGTTGTCTTTGCAGACGCATCAAACACGACTCCCAGTTTGTTTGAAGTACTATCAGGCCTCAGAACGCATTGATGTGGTATGAAGTAGTGCGGTCCTGGTGGAATCTTATTGCATGTTTGAGACATTTCTCGAAGTGAGCTGTCTTTAAGGCTTCTACGCTCTAGCGATAAAAATCTTCGTTTAGAGAGCACGAGCGGATCAGATTTAAAAGGCAAACGGACTAAAAAACTACCACAATTTAATTTGGCTACGTTTTTCACGAAGTGATCCTCGCAGGCAATTTGTTCTGGTGAAAATTTAACAACTTCTTTGTTTTCTGGGACGGAATATAAATCCCAAAGCCTTTCAACAAGTCCTCCCAAAAACATGTGTTCCTTGGACAAGGCGATACAAGAAGTAGCTTCTTTTTGTTGTTGGTTACACCGTCCAGAAACAACCCATCCCAATAGTGTTTTTTAAAGCAATGGACCTCCATTGGTGAGTTTGATTTGACCACTGCACATCAAATCAAAGAAGGAGTCTGCTCCGAGCAAAATATCAATTCTTTGCGGCTTGTGGAACTCTGGATCAGCTAAGTCTACGCCGGCCGGAATTTTCCACTGCCTTGCAGGAAGCAAATTATCTGGCTGATTGCTAGTTATGGTTCCCAGTACCCAAAAGACAGACGTAAAAATGTGTCCATTGAGCCGCGAATATAAGGTA